TTGGTACTAGTATTCTGGACACGAAATTTATGATACCATGAGATTAAAAAAGATTGTTGTAATTTCACCATAGGCCCTTCTCTATTTAGACTTATTTAGGGCTCAAAAACTCACTCCTAATGCGTTATAGTCCTGACAAGTGGATGAATAATATTGCCAATATAGCTTCAAAAAATATGTTTTATTTCAGTTCCATTCTACAAGAAAATTCTATGCATTAGTGTATTTGGTAACAAAATAGTCCCAACTCCCAAATTCAACTAGTGTATACTATGAGGGCCACATAATCCCAAATGTGGAAGTAGTCAATGAGAAAACCAAACCTTTAGATAAACAAGTATCAAACCATGTAAATTGATTCCATATAACAAAAGAAAATAAGCAACATACCGGCGATGATTCTGGTAGAAATTGTCAAGCTGATAATATATATAAATGGGCTTTTTCATTTTCTTTGGAACCTGAAAAACATTGAAGCAATGCACTTGAGTTCATCTAAACATTATTAATCTAAGAGGAGAGAGGAACACGCCTAAAATAATTTGAACTAATTGACTGACAGTTAAAGTTTTGATGCAAGTCTTGTTAGTTTTGGAGCTTTGAATATATGCAAGCACATCATCGCCAAAATTTGAAGGAACACAATCCTTGTCATATCGGTCTACAATTTCCACCACCTACATTTCAAATAAAGAGAGAGTTCATATAAAATATCAGTCAAATGCTAACTACAAAGCTTCACCGATGCAATAGTAATGTATTACGCTTTCTGATGCAAACAAGGAAGCGAGGCCAATAGGAATAAAGATGATGCCGACAAATATGAATGCTGTGATGACCTGAAACCATGGGAGAGATAATTATGTAATGAAAATCTGAAGAGAGAGATTGAGTTATATAAATAATATCAATCATACCCATCCAGGAGTCAAAATTGGTTTGCAAGCAGGAAGCTCTTGTTGTGTAAACCTAGAATCTGAAACATATAATAATCAATAGATAAGTAGTTTATCCATGAGGAAACTCTAGAACAAACATAACTAAAGGGAATATTTAGTAATTGTGCAAGTCATCAACACCTAATATTCGAGTATTGAGATTAACATATGTGAGATCATAAGAATCATTCACATCTTGGTCAAACTCTAAAAATGAAAAACATGACTAATGTTACTTGCAAAAGGTTAGGTACTTAATCACTAATAATAAACTCTCCAAATTTTGAAAAATCAAAATATTTGAATGTGTATAAAACACAATGTAATACATCTGTTTTGTTATTGCTCTGTTTAGGCAGTTTCATTGGGAAATAATAACCACCACCCAAGTGCACCAAATATGACCACATTGTTCTTTTTTACTATTTTTTTATATTTATGTCATAAGAAATTTTAGAAAACCAAAATAGCATAAGCCATGAGATTCATTATAACCTATTGAGAAAGAGATACAATATTTTCTCTACTTGCCCCGTTCTCTTAGGATCCAAAATGATGGAAGATGTACTTTTACCAACTTTAGAGAGACAGCACTTTTCTTTTCTTTCTTTCACAAATCCCACTATTGTTGCACATTATTCCTACTAATTCCCAGATTATGTCCAAACATTAAGGCTGTGTTTGGATCTTGGAAAGGAAAAATGAAGAGAAAGGTAATAAAATAGAAGCTATTTTTTTGGTCATTTTTCTCTTTTCTTCCACAAATCCCAACTCAAATTCAAGATTCAAACACAACTAAGTTGTGCCCCAACATAAACCTCGTACACAGCATATGATCCATTACTTGGCAAATTACAAGGGATGAGCCATGTATAAGAAGGAGAAACAAGAAAAAATAAAATAAAATAAAATAAAATAAATAAATAAAAAGAGAAGGGAGGAAAGAAAGAGAACGACCTTAACTACCTTGGACAATTTAAAACCTACAGAGGACAGGCATAAAACACAACCTCTTTCATCAAATTGGCATACTTTAGAAAAGCTTCATGCCATATTTTATTTAACTAATCACGTGAAGTTGATCATATCCCTCCAAAACCCAACGAAGTATTCCTACTAGTTACCTTAGTCCTTTGAGGGATCCATGATTTCTTCTCTGTCAACTACCCCAAATCCAGCAGGCATGGCAAAAATCAAGTGATGTATATGGCCTTCATGATCTCTCGTGATACCTTCAATACTTGATTTCCCTAATTACCATAGAAACTTTAATAGAAATTGAATTCAGTAAACTGAGTTTGGAAAAAAATTGTTAAGTGAATTTGATGCTACTCCCTACAACTTCTAGCTCCTTGTAATCGTCTAAGGCCATGTTTGTTTTGGCAGATTGAATCAAACGGGATTAGCATTATACCTCTGTTGGAAAAATGGTGTTTTATAAGGCTTATTTTAGGCCAACTTTGAGCCCAAAATGGAGTAGGCCCCAAACATCTTTTGTGGTGGGCCCGAAAAGGTGACGTATTCCTTGTCGTGTGGCAAGTCACACGGTGAAGACAAATCGCCAAAACCATTTATGAGTGAATGGGAACTTGATGCCGTTTTCGGGTTCATGGAATGGACATTTAAAGAATGAAATGTGGGTTTCCTTGAAATGGGATGTCCCACATTGAAACTTTAAGAGAACTTTTTTGTGTATATAAGCTCTAGACTACAACACTTGGGTTGGGCCCTAAGGGGCACCCTAAGTTTGTAGAAGGGAGGAGTTATGGAGAAAGTGAACTTTAGCCCAAACCACTACACACGCGCACGCCGCCGCCGGCTGTCCGGCTGTACCGGGCGCGGGTATGGGTCGAGTCGGTTCTAATATTAATTTTTTGGACAAAATTCGAAAAAAAATTATTTTCTGAACCGAAATAAATTCAAATTTGAATTTATTTTTTGTCCATATATTTCCTCTTCCAGTCCATTATTTCTGAACAGATTAATCAGTCCAAACAGGTCTCAAAATCTGTTACACCCAAACAAATTCGAACTGTCCCGAACAGATTTAACTACTGTGCAGTTATTTGTTGTAACTGCCAGATCTGTTTAATTTTCAAACAGCATCTGTTCAATTCATATTAGTACATGTTCGGGTCTATATATTCTAGACTTGTTCCAGCAGATTTTGGTTGATCAAAACATCAAGTAAATTCTATCCAGATAGGTTTTCAATCTGTTGAAATTCTGGACAGATTCAAAATCTGCACAGTTGCAGATCTGTCTAGTTTCTTTACTAAATCTGTTCAAGGGTTGAAGTTACAGATACTTACCTGTTCGGACAACCTTTGTATGCCTTTATATACCAACATTTCTAGCAGTATTCTATTGGAAAAAAAAACAGCCTGAAATTAATTCCTTTGTGCTATCCAACTTTTGTCTTTGGTGCATTATTCTTCATATTAGTTTTAGAATAAATTTCAGAGAGTTAGAATACATGTTTGGTTCGTCGTTCAATTTGTTTTGGAGTGTTACTACAAATTGGTTAAGATCATTGTATTCTGGGAGTTAGACATCACATAACCGTAAGCACCATAGCGGGGCGAATCTGTCTTAAGGACAAAGTGTCACACACTCGACTTGCTCTTTCAATTTTCTTCGATAAATAAATTCGGTACGTTATTTATTTATTTGTTTGAATTTTGTTTCAGTTTATTTTATTTACACAGAAGATTGTTCCAACACTTCTCAATTTTTTTTTGGGTAAAACTCAATCCTCTCATCTCATCTCTTTGATTTTGTGGTAAAAATTAAAGGGTAGGATTTTCTAAAGTAAACAAGTTTACAGTGTTCTTAATTTTAAAAGCATTTTTTTGTTATTTTGTTCGTAGATGCGAAATTTTGTGGTGTTCCATATATGTATTTTATTTTCAATATTAGGTAATTTAAAAAAATCATGAAAATGGAATGTTTGATGCTACTACTTGTTAGATGCCATGCCTAGGGTGTTTTATCTTGAAAGTCTACTTAAAAAAGGGCACTCAAAATTAATTTATCTTGAATAATTATGATTGGAAATTTTTCCAGAATAAATATAGAACAATTACTAACTTTTGGATTCAATCAACAACCTCGGAATAATCATAGAGAATGCCAAGGTGTTGACTGAAAATGGGTGGACAAGGAAATTTTAAAATAACAAGTGTCTAATCTGTTTTCATGCTAAAATGAATTAGGCCTCGTTTGGGAACAGGCTAATTTAGTAACTTTTTAGTTATTTGGTTAAAATATGAGCTAAAAAAAATTAGTATGTTCGGGATGACTTTTTGGTTTTTTACGAAAAGATGTGCAAAAAGTAGAGAAAAAAGAATCTTTGACTTTTTAGTATGGGTTGTTGATTTTTTGGCTAATTTAGTAACTTTTTGAATTTTTAACTAAAAGGGAGAATTTCTAAACGAGGCCTTAGTATCATTTTCTAGTCATCTTAATTTCAAAGCAACAATTGTGCAAAGAGGGTGATATTTTCAATTCAACTAATGATTGTCATTAATCTGTGTTACTTATATCATTATTTTGCTTCATTATTTGCAGTGAAGCAAATTCTAATCATCTAATGACTATCAAAGATACGAAAACACCCAAAAGTTACAAAGTTGAACATTTCTATATTTGTGAGAATATTTCTAAGCTTTCCTGCTCTACAAATTTTCTGGTCAAAAGAAATTTGAGATATCCTTTATGTCTTTATTTTTTAGAAGTCTAGAAAGTAGTGGCAGTATTTTTTTTTGATTTTGAAAGCAAAGAGACAAGTAAAAGATACAAGAAAATGTACAATCGTTATTCTTATTTTTTTGAAACAATATTATAATCCTTCAAATTACAAGTACTTCAGCTCTCAGATTAGTTGTTTTTGTTTAGGGGCTGCATATGCTTGAAATCATAGTGCTCCGAGTGATGTGCAAATATTTTCATAAAAAAGTTACTTGACATTATTTTTGTTTTTCTTTTGTACAAATGGATGAACTCGTGCATGAAGTTGAATTGTATATGACTATTTGACGCTTGTTACATTTGTTGAAGGATTATATATTTTTGAATAAATGTGTATGGAAAGTATTTGGATAGACGACTAGTTATATTTTTGAATAAATGCATATGGATAAAAATTTAAAACATAATAACAACTAATGGCCAAAACGACGTCGTTTTGAGTACAGAACAACATAAAAATGGCCAAAACGACGTCGTTTTGGCCATTTGAGCCACTTTTGAACCACAAAATTTGAGCTACGAGACATTTTCCATTGGATAATTATATAGATTACATGACCATTTTAATTGGACGGTTATGTGGTTTGGAATTACTTGTAGATGAAAACTTATAATAGTTGATAACTTTAATTAAACAAATTAAGTATTGGCTAATTTTTGTATTTTGTTGGATGTTCATGATTCAGTTGATTTTGTTGGTTTGAATGATTCTTGCAAATTACAAGTTAGTATATTGAATGGTTTAGACGGATTATTGTATATCATATAGGTCAAATGAAATTCTTTTTATATTTTATTTCTATTTTTATAAACAAAAAGATTTGATTTGGCGACCAAAATTTGGTTTGGTTTTTGTCTTTTGGCGACCAAGTGATTAGTCGGTATTTCACTATTCACATTTGGCGAGCAAAAGGTTGGTAGGCAAAAGGTTACATTTGGCGACTAAATAATTAGTCAGTAAAATTATTAATTTTAGTAATCAAAGTGTTTAGTTGCGAATAGGTTTATTGCCGACTAAAGTTTAAGTCACGCAAATATTACTTTTGGCGACTAACACTTTTGGTTAGGAAATATGACAATTGGCGACTAACATATTTAGTTGAGAAAATATCACTTTTGGTGACTAAAGTGTTTTAGCAACAAAATGGTTTAGTCGCGGTAATATAACATTCAGCGACCAAAAATTTAGGGGTTGTTTGGAGTGTCTTAAATAAGTGTACTTTTTGTCTTTTTGAACTAAAAAGTTAAGGGAAAAAATATGGATGTTTGGGTTAATTTTTTGACTTTTCATGAAAAAATGTGTAATAAAAAATTGTAAAAATTGATTTGTAGAGGAAAATTAAGATTGAGAGTTGTGTAGCCGTAATTGTTGACTTTTGGTAAATAGTGTTAACAACTTTTTGAATAATTTTTTTACTTTTTGGCTTTTTTTACGTACCCCAAACTTGGCCTTAGTTGGCAAATATAACTTTTTCTCGACTGAAAAATTTTTTAGTCGCTAATTATTTTTCCCAACCCTCAATTGGCGAGCAAAGTAGTGATCACAAAAATTAGTCGTAGATTACTTTTGCTGACTAAATTTTTAATCAACAAAAATACGATTTCCTGAAGTGTATAGAAGTTCGCAAAAAATAACTTTACAATTTTTGGTAATTATAAACAGTTTACTAAATACAAAACAAAATTTTAGTTTTCTTGTCTTTTTTTTTAGGACCTTTCTTACACTTGATGCTTCTTCTAAAAAATTTATTGGAACCACCTAAAAAAAAAAAAAATTAAGGTCTTGGTCTCTCGTGTAGCTTGTTTGCAACGCTCTAAACCATCATTAATACCAAAAAAAAAAATTCAATTGTAATAGAAAACCCTACACATACATAACTTCCACAATCTTCACTCTCATTACAATCACTCATAATATGATAAACACACATACATGAGTGGACCCTACACACATATCATATCAAGGGTCAAGATCAAATTAAGGGTAATGAAACCCCCAAAAAAGGAGGTCCCAAACATTTCTTAAAAAATTTATATACATTTGATTTTAATGTATCTAAACTTAGTAAAAGGTAATATTATTTTTGTTAACCCCGCAAGACAAGAGGTGTTTTGAGAAGTTGGTAAAAAATTGATTTTTTGACTTTTTTAATTTATTTTGTCTTTTTATGAGAAAGAGGTTGTACAAGTGTTGCAACATTTTAATGTTAAGGAAACAAATTAAAATAAATTGATTTGACTTGAGAGATTGAATTGTCATTTTAACTTAAGAACTATAAAGGTCAAGTTTGGCATACATAAAATAATCTATCTTTTTATTTTTTTTTCATCACATCACCTCTCTACTTTTTTACACATCTTTTCGTAAAAAGACAAAAAATGTACTTATTTAGGTCATCTAAAATAACCCCTAAATGTGCGTAAATTGCATTTCATAGTACTATAAAACTGCTAAATAATTATCCATGTTGAGATTATGACTGCAACTTGAATAAATAATGTACTTCTTAGTGATACTATACTTCTTTTGTGAAAATCTTGAAAAATCATAGTGATTTATGCGCTAACCCAAAAAAAATAAAAATACATACAACATAAGAAGAGTATGTAGAAAATTTTGTATGGGTACACATTCCGTTAAGATTGAAGCAATGCTGCCTATATTTTTAATACTTTTATGATGGTGGGTAATGTATATTTGATTTCTATACTGATAGATTTATTGAAACAATAAAAGGCAGTTATTATTTTTGTAAACCTTAGGTTTCTCTAACGGTGTATTAATTTTTTTTAGTAAATTTGAGTAAAAATTTCTTTTGATATCAAGTGCTCTAACGGAAGATTTTGTTGTTTCATCAGATCAACGGTCGACCGAGTAGACGACCGGGCTGACAACTGGCCAGTCAACCGATCAGGGTAATTTTTTCACAAATTTTTTCCTTGATGTGGTCATCCGAGGGAACATCCGGTAGTAAAAATTCAATGGCAATTAATAGTGATCTGATAAAAGGCACATTGATCCTCAGTTGATGAAAGAAAAGTGAAATTCTAAATTTGATGATAAATTTAATGAACCGTTAGAGGAATAAAAAGTAACTTTTTTTTATCAAATTTTAAATTTAATGATAAATTTAATAAATCATTGGAGATGATTCTACCAGACATATCATGGATCAATAAGTGATGGATCGACAAGTGTTGCAATCTTTTGATTCAGGAATAGCAGTTTAAAAATTACAATTAAAATGGATTGGTTCTTAAGGGGGTTGAATTGTCATTTTATCCTAAAATATATTAAATGCGCCACTACTATGATTCTTTATATGCAATTATGTCTTCTCTTTTTCTTTTTTCTTTTTTTCTTTTTTTTTTTTGTTTCTTTTTTTTTTAAAAAAAAAAACTTACCTAGAATGATATGATATAATACGGAATAGAACAATATACTATTAAAAAATTTGGATAAATTAGGTACATAGCTTCTGTAATTTATATGATATATCAATTTAATTTTTGTTATTTTAATTTGTTTAATTTTTTTTAATTTATTGGATTGTGTTATACTGGTCTAATAAATAACGGTAATTAAGTTTGGTGAACAGAAATTTAAACGATGTATCGATTTGATCCTGTAATTTACACGATGTGTTAATTTAATTCTTGTCAAAATCGAGTAAATTAAAACAAAAGGAACCAAATTGACACATTATGTAGACCACAATGATCAATTTAATACATCGTTTGAGCATATGATAACTTTCCGTCCACCAAACCTAATGACCGTTATTTATTGGACCTAATATAATACAATTTGTTAAATTGAGGGATAAAATCGAACAAATTAAAATAATATGGATTAAATTGACACATCGTATAAATTACAGGGATCATTTGCATAATTTACCTTAAAAGATTTGAGCTCACCATAAGCAACAAAAGTTTTCAACAAAAAATCCCTTTAAAAAGGGAAAAAAAACTTTAAAATGCATACATTACCTAAAAGTATTGAGTCTAAAATAGAATTCAATGAACCATAAAAACTGACCTTAAAAAAAACTAAGAGTGTAAAAATAACCCGTGGTCCGTGGGCAGTCCTAAATCTACCCGCGGTCTGGGGTAGGCCTAACCCAATTAGGCCCGGTTAGGTCGAGGCCTGAGCCCAAGCGTGAGCACTGGGCCTAGGTCGGCCCGTGGCTCGGCCTTATCGGCCTGCTCAAGGCCTACTCAAAGCCTGCCCGTCCGAAGCCCAGTGTCATTTTTAGTGGAAAAAAATAAAATTTTAGTAAAAAAAATAGTAAAAAAATTATGAAAAATGTTCAAACCCGACCCAAGCTTGAGCCCAAGCCCATCAGCTCAGACCAAGGCCCGAATACCCCCCGGGCTTGGGCCTAATTTTCACACCCATAAGTTGGCTCGGCCCTTAATTTTGGCGGAAGTCCACGAGATTCGACATGGGCTAATCCGGGCCAAAATTACACCCCTAAAAACAATCAATCAATAGAGAGATTTTAAATCATGAGCAAAAAAAAATACAAAAATAAATTACAAATTAGTAACGTGACTATTTTAGGAAACAATGTTAAATATTTTAGACATTTTTTAGATCTTTTAAATTCAAACATTATATTATAAAAAAAACAGTATATAAATAGATTTTCTATTTGAATTTTTTATTGCAATATACACAAAGGTATGAGTCACACATATATTTATCAATAATCCTAAATGCACATAATCATATCGTAGAACTATTTTCAATCCTCTCATATGAAGCCAGATTCATTAAATCCATGAATTAAGAAAATTATATTTGATTTTATAATTGAATTTTATACACGTAAAAAATTATATGTTTATTAAAATGTGAATCAATTACTTTGTCTAAATTGAGGATAATCCAAAAAATAATAATATGAGAAATGGTAAATACACAATTTAAAACTCATAATTTACTCAAATCGGCATGGTAAAGAGTTACTTTACATAATTAAATTTGTGACAATATAGGTATCTTTAAGAGTCTCAATCTTTTTCCAAACAACATATATATCTAATTTTTTACACATTATTGTACACAATCACTCACGTGTAAAATAAGGTTATAAAAGATTACTAAAAAAAATAAATAAAGTCTATCAAAATAGTAAAGTAACAAGAATTTGATTTAGAATTCTAGATATCGATGTAAGTTTAATATTTTTGATGTGTAATTTAAAACTTTAGATAAATGTTTGATATTTTTTTTTGAAGAGGCTACAGATTTACCGACAATAAAAAAATAAAATAAAAATAAAAACAAAAACTAGGTACACCTGACATTTGATAACCCAAACGAAACGAGCCCAAAGGCCCAAACCCCACAACACTGTACAGTGTAACCACCTATCCCATGGATCAAGCCACATGGGTTGATCCTGTTCCTCCATATTTTTCCCCCACCAACACACCAACCTATTTCTGGGTTTTGTTTTGCTTCACAGTCCTCTTAACACTTCTCTCTCTCTCTCTCTCTCTGTATATATATATATATATATATGTGACAAAAGAGGGAAAGGGGCTATCTAAAACCACACCGCAATTACCACCCATTTCAAAAAACAGTATCATTATTGTGCGGACACCTCAAAATCGAACCAAAAACATCGAACCTGTTAGGATTTCCATGCAAAAAGCTTTGGTTTCATCGTCTACAGATTTTCTTGTTCTCTTAATATAAATTTCCGAGTCTTCTCTGTTCTTTTCAGTGTTCCCAAACATGTCACAAATTCGAGGACCAAATCCGACCCACGACCCGTTCAAATGCTTCGGACTCTTAATCTTTCACACCACTGACTATCTCACCACGGCGTTGAGAGGAGCTCTGTTGATCTTCCTTGTGGCGTCGATTTCACTCGTTGTCTACTCCGGATTCTTGACCCAGACCCAGATGTTCCACTGCCCCGAATGCTCCCACCCGACCCAACACATCGACACTCAACTCTGCGACGAGACCCACAACGTTTCGGGTCGAGATATCGGAGCAACCAACATCTCTCACCTCGTATTCGGCATCGGAGGATCCGCCAAAACCTGGGACCACCGCCGTCACTACTGCGAGCTGTGGTGGCGACCCAACATCACCCGCGGGTACGTTTGGCTCGACGAAAAACCCGACCCGAAAATCCCATGGTCAGAAAAATCGCCTGAATACCGGGTTTCGGAAGATTGGACCCGGTTCAAGTTCTCGAGCTCGCAATCAGCGGTTCGGATAGCCCGGATTGTGTTGGAAACGATTCGGCTCGGGTTACCCGATGTGAGGTGGTTCGTAATGGGGGATGATGATACGGTGTTTTTCACTGACAACTTAGTTTCGGTGCTAGCGAGGTACGATCACCGTTCGATGTACTATGTCGGTGGGAACTCCGAGAGCGTGGAGCAAGATGTGAGGCACTCGTACGATATGGCGTTTGGCGGCGGAGGATTTGCGATCAGCTACGGGCTGGCTTTAGAGCTTGTCAAAGTGTTCGACGGTTGTCTTGATCGGTACTACTACTTCTACGGCTCTGATCAAAGGGTCTCGGCTTGCGTAAACGAGATTGGAGTTTCTCTCACTGTAGAACGTGGTTTCCACCAGGTATGTCTCTAAACTTTTTTTTCTTTTTTTTAATCCAACGGTGATATCATGTAATCGGTTTCTCACCCATTGTGCGTACGTGACAAGTAAAAAATGGAGGTTGATCTCGAAATTTAGGGTTTATTGGCTAGGTTGGCCGAATGAGGATTCTCTCCTTGAAGTTTTCCTTAATTTCTTATTTACTAGGTCATTGGGCTTACTTTAGGCCTAATTTTGTTAATTCGAACTGTTCATATTTTAAAATATGTTAAGTATATTATATTTGTAAAAAATTAAATTAATCGAATATCAAAAAATATATGTTCGGATCATCAAATTAAAAATCATTTTAAAAAAAAATTTAATAAACAATTTGCCGAACATATCCTTCCTGATATGCGATCAAATCCAACAAATAAGAAGCCAAGTAAAAACTTCAATGAGAGGATCTTGATTCAGATTGGCCATGTGAGATTGGATTAAAATAATTATAAAAAGGTAAAATAAGTTAAAAAGTTAATAAAATAAAATATTATATTTAAATTATAATTTTTTTTTTTAGAAAAAATTTAAAAAATTAAAAATCAACTCATTTTCATTATTTGCATTAAACTTTTAGAATTTTGTTATATCTTTTGTTTCGTCTCTCAATTAAATTACACTTTTAAAAATATGAGAAAAAAAATAAAGCTCACGTAATTAAATATAAGACAAATTAATGTTTGAATAATGTTTTAGAGTACTAAATTGGGAGGTCTAGAGCATCACTAATGATGTGGTACAGTGACCCCTACTAAAATGATGTGATGTTTTGACTTGAATTTTTTTTTTTTTTTAACTCATTAGAACTATTAGTGGTTCAAAAATTAATAGAATGAATCACCGCTCTCAATGTTTGACGCCTACCATTTCGCCTTTTATTCGTCTGTCTCTTGATTTTTGTTTGTGACATGTCGTGATTTGGTGTGGGTGGTTTTCCACGTGGCAGATTTTGGGGTCAAGAATAGAATAGTAGGTATTTTTTTTTTAATGAAAACAGTAGAGTATGTTATCCAGCAGATAACTTCTGCGGTGAGAAACCTACTTTGAAAATGAGTTTTATGCCACGTGGAACTCGGAGTTTGACACTGTTTGTTTGTTGTATCCTGTAGTGTTTTATCTTCTACTTGGTTGTGGAAATGTCTAAGTTTAAGGGTTGTTTTAGAAAATCGATTAAAAATTAATTTTTTGATTTTAAAATTTTTTTTTTTTTTAAATATGTCAAATATAGAGAGATGATGCAATCAAAATAGATTAAAAACAAAAAAAACAACTTTTTACTTTGTTCCAAAAGAAGCCAAAGTTTAGATGACTTTGGTTTCATAGCGTAACGGTTCGTTAGTATTCTGGTCTTTTTCATTTTAGGTTCTGGTTGGCTACAATTTAAATATCTTCTTTTTTTTTTTTTGGAGATTTTTTTAAAAAACTATGTAAAATTTTTTTATTTTTCAAAATTTTTTTTAAAAAACGGGAAAAAAATTTTTTAAAAATTTTTAAATTTTTTTTTTTGTATTTAATTATTTTTTTTTTTTTTTTAACTTTTTCAAGTCCATTTTAGTCTAATAAACAGTTATATTACAAACGGGAGACAATCCATCTCCCAAATAAAACCCACAAAAATAATAAATGGAAAATGGTTTGTACCCGACTGGGGGAGGCCCAGTGGGAGCTGATTGACCCATTTATTTATTTATTTATTTAATGACGAATCCGCACGTGTGTGGTGGTGGTGAGGGTGAGAAAACAGTAGGGGTCTGAATCAAAGTTGATAATAAATAAATAAAATCTTTCCAAAAAAGCAGTCTAACTTTTGAAAAATATTTTCCCATCTTAAAATAATTTTGAAAAGAATAACATGCTAGGAACCCATATGAATTATTAAATATTTCACTAAACTTTTTATGCCTCTATTTGGCAAGTTGATTCTTGAGCTTTTTTGACTATTTTAGCCACAAAAGACAAAATAGGTTATTTTAGCTATAACAAACAAAACATCACATCCAACCCATAATCATTACATTCTTCTCTCACAAAAAAACTCAAAAAAGCCAAAAAGCTAAAAAGCCCTTCCCAAACCAAGCTTTTAAGCCCGGGCTAAAATAGCCAAAAAAGCCAAAAAGCTAAAAAGCCAACCTACTTCCCAAACGGAGGCTATATGAGTGTGGGATCCACACAAATTATATGTGTGAGTCTACACCCATGTGAAAGATTTGATAAAATATTTAATAATTCATTTGGATCTATAACATTTTCCTTTTCATATTTAAGATGAATTAAATGAAGGTGGAATTTATTGTACTTTTTTTTTTTTTTTTTTCTCTTTCAAAAATGTTCCGGACCCCCTCTAAATAGTGACCCCCACGACCCCCTTAGTTTGTGATTGGCCAGATTTTTTTTTTTTTTTTTTTTCAAATCCCTTCCTCCAATCACCAACCCCCACGTGTGTGTGGGGGTGCTGGGGGTTGGTGATTGAGGGGGTCTCTACCAAAGTTGGTTCTCTTTAATTAATGCAACTGAAGATTGACGGGGACGATTCGGGGGGCAAGTCGGCGGAGTTGTCACTTTGGAAATTTGAGTTAAAAATTGGGAAATGTTTGGTAACTCAAAATTGTGTGGTTCAAATGGTTCAAATATGTCAAAACAACGTCATTTTACACTCATTTATACTCAAAACGATGTCGTTTTGAGTGATTTGAGCAATTTGCATCACAAAATTTTAAACTACCTAACATTGTTGCTAAAAATTATAGTCCCAAGTTAGGAAAAATTCTTATAATGTTTTTAGACGTCAATTGAATGAGGCTCTAAATTTTTAACATCAAAACTCACCTAAGTAGAGAATTTCAATTAATTTTGAACTTATGAAAACCTAAGTAAATTTAACACTTTATATTAAATCCCAAGACAACACAATTGTATTAATGAAGGTTCAAAGTAATTGATTTCACTTTACTAAATTTCTCTCCAACTTAATTCATCTATTATGAGATTGAACTTTTTTAAATCATAATTAATGTATTTGGTTTTAGTTTTTTTAATTCATTTTTCTAGAAATTAAGTTTTTTATTTTTTGTGCTTTTTTATTTTTAGTTAATATTTTTAACATTTTTTTTTTTTACGTTTTTAGATGCACCTTATTTAGATATTTCTAAATAGTAAAATATTTGTGAAAAAATATTTAAAAAATTAATAAATATACAAAAATATGAAAAATGTACTGAATTTTCATTTTTTTTTTTTGTATTTTTAGTATTTAGTGAATTTTTTAAAAAAAATTTCTCGAATATTATACTTTTTAAATGTATTTATGTTAAGTTTGTCTAAAAAATTTTTTAAAAAAATTACTTAAAATATTTAACAAAATCAATGAAAACCAAAAAAAATACGGAAAACAAAAAAATAAAATTTTCTAAAAAAGTGAATTTTAAAAAATGAAACCAAACGGAATAAATAGTATTCTCTTTAGATACCTTTAAATTTTGTATTATTTTAAATTTTACTTCAATTGTTTGTTGGCTTTACTTAAAAACTGAAATTTCTATAATTGAATTGATTGTTGTTTGTTGAATAATGGAATACATGTAGGAGTATAAAAATAGTCCGCAGTCCATAAGCGGCCTGGGGTGGGCTCAGCCCATTTAGGCCCGGGCTCAAGCCCGAGCCTAACCTGAGACCCTGGGCCAAAGTCTGGGCCATCCTTTTGAAACCTGGCCCAGCCCGTGGGCCCGCTTAAGGCCCACTCAAGGTCCGACCCAAGGCCCGGCCTGCCTGAGGCCTAGTGTTTTTTTTAGAGGAAACTAATCAGCTTGCATGTTTTCATTTTTCAAAAAACACTTTTCAGAAAATTCTACTTATTTCCCTTGTTTTTTTTATTTTTATTGAATTTTTTTAATATTTTAAACATTTTTTTTACTTTTTAGACACATCTAACATAAATACACTTAAAAAGTAAAAAAATTGTAAAAAAAATCTTTTAAAAATTCACTAAATACCAAAAATATTTTTAAAAAAATACAAGAATTCAGTACATTTTTTATATTTTTATGTATTTATTAATTTTTTAAATATTTTTTCATAAATTTTTTACTTTTTAGATACATCTAACTAAGGTACATCTAAAAAAGTAAAAAAAATGTTTAAAATTTAAAAAATATTTACTAAAAACAAAAGAATACAAAAACTAAAAAACTCAGTTTTCAAAAAACTTAATTCAGAAAACTCAAACCAAACACACTGAATAAAATTTTGATAGAAAAAATTAAAAAAAACAAAAAAAATTGTTCAGTCCCGCCCAAGCTTGCCCTAAACCCGAGTACAAGCCTAGGCCTACCGGCCTACCCAAGGCCCGAAAATTCCATGGGCCTAGGTTTGGGCCTATTTTTTTGGCCCATGGGCCGGCCCTGTCCAGACCTAAATTTTGGTGGAAGCTTGCGAAGCTCGACCCTAGCCTTAGCCCGCGTGGGTCAGGCCGGGCCAAATCCCTAAATGCATGTTTATTTAATCAAACTTTCAAGAAAGTATAGAAGAATTAATTGAACTACAATTACAAGCTCTTGGTTCAATTTTGTAACTAAAAATGCAAGAACCGTCATGCTCAAGTGATATAGGGATATAATTCATTCAATTTTATTTTTTATTTTATATATATATATATATATTAGTTTTAGATTCTTATATAGCATTTTTTTCTTGTGTAAATTGTTAGATATAAAAGATAATTTTATCCTTTAAAATTTTTGTAATAATTTTTTAAGATTCTTTTTTTAATTTTTTTTTTTTTTTTTTTTTTGAGTGACATGAAGAATTGTAGGGTATCATGTTGAGTGTTTGCTTTAGGCCCTGAATGTTTAAAGCCGGCCCTGGCTACATCTCCTAATATATAATCTCTATTTTGACCTCTAATGAGATGAAAAGAAGAGATAGAGAGAGAAATGATGGGGAGTGAGGAGTGAAATTCATTTCATATCATTCAGGGTAGATTAAAGATGTTCAATTAGTGCTCCCAAATATTTTTGTAATTACAATCCCATATTAGTAATGTTACATAATTTATTCGTCTTAGTAGAGTTCGTCCACTTTTACTAAAATGAATATGATTTTTAGTACTTTAAAAAAACTTATGCACTTTTAAATATTAAACAATATCCATGTGCACTTGTTACCATTTACTTTCATTAAATACAACGTTGTTGTCACCCTATTCTGTTGTGTTATTGGTATTTTTTTCCATTATACAGTTGACATTGCATTTACCTCTCAAAAAAACTAATATAATATTATGATAATTATTTTCTTATCACGTTTATGATCATATTATTATTGATCAACTAAATATGAAATAAAAATACAATGACATTCATTCTGTTTAATTTTGAGTTTTTAAAAATAATTTTTCATTTTTTATTTTTATGTTTTGTTGTTTTGAATCAACAATGTCAATGTGATGATGCAGTGCACATTTCCAAGCGATACGTGTCACAATCACAAACCCACTATCTGTAGCAACGATTCAATGAGCTAAAGATGTGGGTTTGATTTGTGTTTATAAATTAGTTTTTTTAAATAAAAAGTACGAAAATTTATTTGGTTTGTTTTTTTTCAGAAATTGTTTTAAAAAATTGTTTTGGAGCGAGAGTTTTAAAAAAGTGATTGATTTAATATGTATAAGAGAAAGAGAGATTTTGGAAAGTAAGTAACCAAACAAAATTTTGAGATTTTTTTTAAAAAAATTTATTTGATTTGATTACTCTTATAAATTTGTTTGTGGAGAATTTTTTCCAAAATTTTTTCTAAAAAACAAACTAAACAAGGCCTAAGTTCACCCATTTTGAGTTCACATTCCAAAGTGATTGGCCGAAGATTGCTCAAGTCTAAAGATTAGCTTTTTTGACTTTTATTCTCAGCCAAACGTGTCTCTAAGACGTGTCCTCGTCAGGTGACCTTTTTCGCTAATTTGATAGAGATACCATTTTTACTTTAATGAACACCTTCTCGTGCCGTGATGGTTGAGACATATACAAACTAACAAAGTCTTGTTTGGCTTTCATTTTATTTTTCATTTTTGTACTTTTTTAAGTCTCTTAGTCTCCGTTTAGGAAGTGGGTTGGCTTTTTAGTTTTTTGACTTTTTTGACTATTTTAGCCTGAGCTAAAAAGTTTGGTTTGGGAAAGGCTTTTTGGCTTTTTGACTTTTTTGGCTTTTTTTGTAAGAGAAGAATATAATGATTATGGGTTGGATGTGATATTTTGTTTTTTGTGGCTAAAATAGTCTATTTTATCTTTTGTGACTAAAATAGCCAAAAAAACTTCGTTTAGCTCTTGCCAAACGGAGCCTTAGTTAGATTCCAATCATATGGGACACGCTACTTAGTTATTCTCATTTTTTTTAAAATAAAGGGTGTCATTTTCTAAGCATAGAAGTACTTTATTTTATTTTATATTAATAATATAAAGTTTATTGAAGTGTCTGTGCTAGGGCGACTTTTAGTACTATCCTTTGTCCGGCCACTAAAAAAATAATATGTTTGAAATTCACATTACATCAATTAGTCCGATATGTGGTCAAACCAATGGATGGTGATATAAAAAATAGATGAGTAGAGATTGTCTATTTTGCAATCTCTACATCAATTAGTCCGATATGTGATCAAAACCAATGATGGTGATGTAGAAATTAGAAGGACATCATCTATTTTGCACTCTCGTATCACTTTATACCAAACCTTGATTGATAGCGTGTTTAAAACACAGGACATCAGAATCATTTTTTTCAAATCATAAATCAAGTTATAAATCGTTTTGTTAAAATAGTAAATCATGAGATTAATTTTTTTTTTTTTATCATAATATATAATTTTATATATGTATACATATAAAAATATACTCATTGTTTAGAATGAAATAAATTGATCGTCGTTTCATGTACTATATAAATAGAATTGAATCGCAATGAATGATGGCTAATTATAGTGAATTGCAATGAATCGTAATTGAATCGTACGATTCACTCAATTTAAGATTCAACAAGACAAATAAGAACGTTTTGGATGGAACTCGTATCAAATTGTATGAATTGAATCATAAATTTCAATATTCTAACAACTATGATGAAAACATGTGATGGGATTTTGTGCTGAAGTAAGTAGTTGCTGTGGTTAATTAGTCTAATGTTTAAATGGATCAAACGAATGATGTTGATATTGGATACCTTTTATCCCAAACCCCGATTGGGAGGCGGTTTGAGATGCGGGTAATGGGAATCCATGACAGGGGATGTAGTTAATTGGTCCAATGTCTAACCTCAGCCATATGATGTTCATGTCACTGTTAATACTGATTGATCCAACTATGTAGCTTCACATCAAATAGACAAACTCAGTAGTCACTTGTGTGAGAAACACAACCAAGTTTGGAAAATTACAACAGAAACATAATTTATTCGTCGATTTTGGAAAATTACTATGCTTTTCTTATATTTCTTGATTTAGAAGTCTGTTTCAAGTTTTAGATTACAAAGTTACATTTTACAAAGTAACTTGTGTGACATTGTAATTTTGACAGTTTGATATTAGAGGGGATGCATACGGTCTCCTGGCCACCCACCCGATGACGCCACTTGTCTCACTTCACCACCTTGACGCTGTAGATGCACTGTTCCCAGGTCAAACCCAGCCAGAGTCATTGCAAAAGCTGATCCAAGCATATCGGGTTGACCCAGCCCAAACAATACAACAAAGTATCTGCTATGACCACCAGCGTAAATGGTCGGTTTCCATCTCATGGGGCTACACCGCTCAGATTTACCCGTCACTGTTGTCTGCAAACCAGTTGGTGATTCCTCTCCGGACTTTTAAGACGTGGCGGAGCTGGAGCAAAGGGCCTTTCATATTCAATACCCAGAACATGAAATCCAACATATGTGAGCAACCCGTTAAGTATTTCTTGGACAAGGTTGAGGATGCCGGGCCGGGTCATACCCTGACTAGTTATATGGTGCATTTGGCTGAGGGACAAGAGAAATGCAGCCGGGCCGGTGTGTTGGCAGTCAAGAGAATTGTGATTTTAGCATCAAAGATGAACCCCCAGGGATGGAACAAGGTAAGTCTATCTTTTGTTGTTTTCAACATTTGAGCGCTTTTTTCCAGAATGTTTTTCGTTGTTAGTGATATTTTTTTTTAGGATAAATTACAAACACACCTCCTGAAATTTACTTAAATTACAAATTAATTCCTATAGTTCTAAAAATTACATTATACCCCTTAAGGTTTCTAATTTTATAACAAATAGATTCTTTTATTAATAAATCATCAAGTTAATTAACAGTTTTTAATAATATTAAAATTTTATTTCAATTAATAATTTAGATAATTTTATTATTCCCTTTAAGGGGCAAATTAGGTTAAAAAAATTCCTTCAATTCAAGCATAAGATTCAATCCACTAAATACGAAAAACCAATTTCATAGTTTATTTATTTTTTTCTTTTTTTCCATTTTTTTTTTTTTTTTAATTTGTTTTAATTTTTAGAGTTGTCATAACATTATATTTGAGGGATTAATATTGACAGTGAATTGAATATTCAACATTTTGTCTTTGGGTTAATTAGTCAATTACGGACTAACCGTTCTTCTGTTTGAACGAATGAGCAGATGCCACGTAGACGGTGCTGCGAGATCAGTGGAAGTTGGAAGAACACCATGAAGGTAAAGATCAGAAGCTGTAAACACTGGGAAACTATCACTACTTGAGAGGTGAGGTCTTATTCCACAGTCCATATTTTGTGAATAATCAAAAGCTATTACAAACTAAAAATAGTTTTATAGTAAAATAATTTTCCTGGTTAGGGCTAATTTTCTTAGAAGCCCTCGTTCCGGTTCTCTCTCTCTCCCTCTCTCTGTGCTATCATATACACGGGCATATGTGCGATTGTCATCTGAAATTTTCAATGTTACACTGCTATTTTTATACAGAATTTATTGACAGAATGATGAAGTAACGACTTTTTTGTAATTAAATATCATCCACAAAATTGTTTACATGTTTTTTTTTTTTGGTTTGTTTTGGGGGGAAGCTTTGACATTAGTTAACAATGGTGGAAAAAATGGTAGTGACAATCAAATCAATTTTCAATCACTAGTGCAGCAACATGTATATATATGGTTTGGTGGGGCCTTCACTTGTTGGTCCATGGCCATTGGAAGTGGAATTCAATGTTGTTTGTCCTTATTTTTGCAATGAGTAATGCTATATATAAACAGTTTTTTTTATATAATTTTTTTTATCACTAAATTTAAAAATAGTACGATTCACATTAATAAATATATATACAATTTACTAATTTCGTGTCTTAAAAAATAGAAATATAAATTACATCATCAATTATTTTACCAACAATTATTAATTATTTTACCAATAGTAGTAAAATAATTAATAATTTAGTTTGTAACTATAACAAAGCTCTTGCGCTTAGGATAAACAAAACTATAACCTTTTTTTTTTTTTTTCTTGGCAATATGTTAAATTTGTGAATAAAGCCAAAAATGGTGGAACCATGAGTATAGTTTGATGATGATGATGATCGCTACTTTGTACCTTTCTCCCTCCTTTAAAGAAGTGCCTTTCGGACCATAGATTGTGGAAGAAAAGACAGAAAAGAAAATGGAAAGAAACAAAGTAAAATTTTTTAGATTCTTTCTTTTTTTTTTTTTTTTTTTTTTTTTCTTTTTTTTTTTTTTTTTCCGCAAAGGGAGGTGAGGGGTGACCCCAAAAGGGTCTCAAGCATTATTCTATATTAAATTTGTGAATAAAGCCAAAAATGGTGGAACCATGAGTATAGTTTGTGATGATGATGATCGCTACTTTGTACCTTTCTCCTTCCTTTAAAGAAGTGCCTTTTGGACCATAGATTGTGGAAGAAAAGGCAAAAAGAAAATGGAAAGAAACAAAGTAAAAGTTTTTAGATTCTTTGTTTTTTTTTTTTTTTTTTCATTTTTAGTTTTGTTTTCCACGATTTCAGAAGTAAAACAATGAAATGTTTAAAAGTGCTCATCGCTATTTTGTAAATTTATACTGCATTAAGTTCTCGATAAGAATTTTTAATAGATGAAATTACTCTTCAAATAATTATTATTTATCATTTATAATTGTTTATAAAAAAAAGTATGCTGATGTAATTTGTTTTTAAAAATCTCACTAAACAAATTTTAAAAATAATTTGGTAACAAGTTTTCTGTATTTTTCAAAAAATGAATACATAAAACAAAAGCATAACCAAATAGAATCTCTTATTAAAAAATGATTTAAGACCTATAATTCTACTCCCAATAACATAACATGTTATATGTCAATTTTTGAGTGGTTATAAACTCTATCAAAAAAAATCTCTTGTGATCTCAATTCATATACAGTGTCTGAGTGGTGATTCATCCTACTAATTTTTGGATCACTAATAGTTCTAATGAGTTTAAAAAAAAAAAAAAAAAAAAAAAAAAAAAAAAAAAACAAAAAACCCCCAACCTTTTTTTGGTGGGGGCCACTATGCCACATCATTAGTGATGCTCTAGAGCTCTCAATTTAGTGTTCTAAAATATTATTCTACAGTGTCTTCTACTCAATTCTGCTTTAAAATAAACGCAACATATATATATATATATATATATGAATAAAATTTAAAAAATTTTGTTGATAATACTCATTTCCAAAATTGAGAAAAGTGGCACCCCCACTCAAGAGCACTACTTCCTTAAAGTGAAGTTAGTCAAAATCACTCGCAATTTGTCGGTAAATTCCATTTCTAAAATTTGATTTTAGTTTTTAGAATTCATTTTTTAAAAAAAAAAAAAACATTTTTCGTATTTTTTTTTTATTTTTATTAAATATTTTAAAGGAACATTTACACACAAATCCTAATTTATGAACTTATACTTTATTAAATCCTAACTAAGATTTTTTAGACCTTCAAGTCTCATTTAATTTTTAATAGTCAAAATTACCCTTCAAACAATAATTGTTCATCATTTATAATCATCTATAAAGAAATATGATGATTTGACATTTATTTCGATTTTCAAAACTTTAAAATATCAACTTTCAAATTGAAAAAATTAAAAAAAAAATTATGAGCAAAAAAAAAAGTAATATGCTTTTTTTTAAAAAAAAAATTGAAAAAACTGAATTAAATTTTGTGTCTATAAAGAAGCATGATGATGGAACATTGATGTGTAAAATTGAAAAAAAAAAAAAAAAACTTAAAAATGAAAAAACTGATAATGTTCTCAGTTTTAAAACTAAAAAAACTGATAATGTTCTCGGTTTTCTTGGATAGTTGAATCAAACTAATAAGTAAAAGGACAAAAATATTTAATCTCATACTTTGTTTTTTTTTTTTCATCTGTTAGTGAAGCAATTATCTGCTACATTACTATATAAAATTGATAATGTTTTTAGTTTTAAAAAGTGAAAAAAAAAATTGATAATATTCTCAGTTTTACTAAATAGGATTTATTGGTTCAAAAAATCTTAGATAGAACTTAAGCTACCATAACATTTATAAATAAGACTTTTGGGTAATTAACTTCTATTGTGAATATTTTTTTTTTTATAATTTTTAGACTCACCTAACATAAATACACTTAAAAAATAGGAATTTTTTTTTTTAAGATCCCTGGTATTAAGGTTTTATAGTATAAAGGACGTCTAATAATTTCATAATGTCCAAGGTCCCTCAATTTCATCCAGAGAAATTCTCTGGACTTCCCAAAGAAATTCTAGACCAGAGAAAATCTATCCAGAGAAATTTCCAGATTATGTAAAGAACTAACAGCTATGGTTTTTAACTTTAAAAAAATGGGGGAGGCAAAACAACACCACCACCACCAGTACTGATGCAAAGAGAAATGTGCACACCAGACAGATCATGCACAAAGTTATTGCACTGAGTACAACCAAGAAATAAAATTTCTCTGGACTTCCAAATTTCTCTGATCCACTCTCCAAAGAATTTCTCTGGCCTTCCCTCATTTCTAGAGAAATTTCCCATCTCTCTAGAGAAAATTGAAATTTCTCTGAACAAAATTGTTTGTTTCTATAGGATCATTTCTCTGTGAATCAGAGAAAATTCAAATCTTTTACCAGAGAAAATTCAAAATCTTGTACCAGAGAAAATTGAAACCAAAAAAAAGTTCCAAATCATTTTACCAATCAAATCCTTTATCAGTTGAATAGAAGAGAAAGAATGAGAAGTGTAATATATGTACTAATAGTACACAACCAAAGTAAAGTGCTCACCAGAGAAAATTTTGGACCAGAGAAATTCTGGACCAGAGACTGAAACCCAGAGAAAGGTACTGCAAATAAATTGTTCAAATTCATACATTTCACACTACCAATTTTTTAACTTTAAAAAAAATGGGGGAGGCAAAACAACACCACCACCACCAGTACTGATGCAAAGAGAAATGTGCACACCAGACAGATCATGCACAAAGTTATTGCACTGAGTACAACCAAGAAATAAAATTTCTCTGGACTTCCAAATTTCTCTGATCCACTCTCCAAAGAATTTCTCTGGCCTTCCCTCATTTCTAGAGAAATTTCCCATCTCTCTAGAGAAAATTGAAATTTCTCTGAACAAAATTGTTTGTTTCTATAGGATCATTTCTCTGTGAATCAGAGAAAATTCAAATCTTTTACCAGAGAAAATTCAAAATCTTGTACCAGAGAAAATTGAAACCAAAAAAAAGTTCCAAATCATTTTACCAATCAAATCCTTTATCAGTTGAATAGAAGAGAAAGAATGAGAAGTGTAATATATGTACTAATAGTACACAACCAAAGTAAAGTGCTCACCAGAGAAAATTTTGGACCAGAGAAATTCTGGACCAGAGACTGAAACCCAGAGAAAGGTACTGCAAATAAATTGTTCAAATTCATACATTTCACATTACCAATGACCGACATACATACACAACTCAAACAACAAAAGCTATTAGAGAGGGAGAGAGAGATTCTAGAGAATTTTTCTAGAGAGATTTTATCTGAATTTTCAGAGAATTTGAATTAGTTTGAACTGTGAGAATTTTATGACTAAATAATATTTGCTGATGTGCGTCTCTGTTTTTTTCTTTACAATATATAATTTCAAGAACTGGTGACATATTGTCTTTCTTTGCTCATTTCAACAGCATGGCTTCAAGATCATCCCCAAATCTTCAAAATCACATCAGAAAAAGTCAAGTCATATGACTATGACCTTTGTGAGGAGAACTTCCTCAGACCGATCTGTCAACTATTGGAAGGACTTGAATGATCTCGATAGCGAAATTGGTAATAGTGAATACATGGACTACACGGTGCACATTCTACCAACACCTGACCATCAACCCATGGATCCATCAATCTCTCAAAGGAGAAAGACATTCAGTGGCTAGAGATTCAACCAAGGCTTGATGGTTGAAGTAAATGGAGGTTTCGGGACGTGAGAGGAGAAACAAGCAGTGGCGGTGACAGTGACGCAGGCGGAGCGGACAGCGGATTTCCTTTCTCTTGCAGCGGCGAAGACGAAGAAAAAGAAGCCCCAAAAAATCCCTCTCTTCAAGCTCAACAACTCTACCCCTGCCAAACGCCTCAGCAACGTAGATCTGATGCTGCTTCCTATCGGTCCACACGAGCGAACCGCCAAGGAGAGAGAGAAGGGTTTTTTGGGTCTAAGTCTAGGGTTGATGATTCTGAGAGTTGGGTATCGAAGAAGAAGAGCAGAGTCAAATTTCTCTGATATGATATATGGGTGTGGGTCTAAGGACCTTAGACATCAAAAAATAATGTTGTAGACATTTTTCATTACTAACAATGGGAAGACCTTAGACTAATTTTTCCTAAAAAATATAATATTTGTAAAAAAAAAATCTTTAAAAAATTCACTAAGTACCAAAAATATAAATAATAATAATAACAATTCAATACATTTTTCTTATTTTTGTGTATTTATTAACTTTTTAAAATATTTTTTCACAAATATTTTTCTATTTAGATACATTTAAGTAAGGTAAGAGTACTCGCGGTTCAATTGTGGCCGGTAACCTCCAATTCACGATCCGTCCGTCGGATTGGCGGATTAGAAAAAAATCAATCTGCATCCATCTACTAGATTGGCGAATACAGATTGAGCGGATTAGCGGATGCATGCGAATCGGTTTTGCGGTTTAAATTTTTATAAATTTTGAACATAATACAACAACTTGTCAACAATTTTTTTTATAACAATTCAACTCAACATAACCAAAAGATTATCCAGTAAATTGTCGAATATAAATAATAAATACATATAAGAAAACCATGCACAAGGTTTTGAAAAGTGGTTGCGATCGCCACAACGGTTGCAGTCACACAGTAGTGGCTGCGGGGTGTAAAAGCCGTAGCGAAACGGTTGCGGTAACTGGAATCATGATTTTTTTTTCCGCACAATTTGAAAAAAAAACTTACCAACACGTATATTTTTTTTTTTCAAAATCACATTTATTGGAGTTTAAAATAAATATTGATCAATTTTTGTTAATTTTTAAATATGATCCAATATATTTTATATTTTCAAATCACTATAAAAGGAGCTTTTTACATTTTATTTCAGTAGTTAATAATTTTAAGAATAATTGATTTTAAATGGGTACAAATTATTTTTTTACCAATACCTAAACTAACTGAATAAAAAATATTCACAATTATTAAATGAAAGAATTATAAAATAAAATTGTGTCATAAATTTTTTAAAAAACAATTATAAAGAAAAAATTCATACAAGATATTTTTTTTTGGGACTTGGATCACTTGAGTATTTGTTCTTTTTTTATAAACTTTTGTTTTTGTTTTTGTTTTTTTTTTTTGAAAAAAGGAAACTATTCACAATATTGTAAAATGGTATAATGATATTTAACAGACCGTTACAACCGTTACGATACCATTACAGCCGTTACATAACACTAAAACGGCCATTACATATGTTAATTTTCATTATACCGATATAACGGCCGTAACGGGTGGTTACGTAATAGTTGTTGCTGTTTTTTAAAACCTTGTCATGCATTTTCAAAATCATTTTTTTTACTTTTTTTAATTTTAAAAAAAAAAATTACAAAATTAAGTCTTATATTTTTCAAAAAATGCTATATACCACAAATGATTTATCAAATTTTTTACCAAACCTCTCACATAAGTATGGCATCCACGCAAATATATATGTGTGTGAATCCCATACCCATGTGAGAGGTTTAGTAAAAAAATTAGCAAATCATTTGATGACTCTAACATAACCCATATTTTTCACACAAAAATACCAAATACCAACACTAGTCATTTCAAATTGAAAATACAATAAAACATCTAAACTCTTTTTCAATTGAAAAGACAAACAAAATATCTAAATATATTAAAAACACAAAATTCTACAAATTACTAAGGATAATCGTAGTTTGACAATTCAGTTGCGGCCAAAAGAATCTCAAATTCACAATCCATACAAAACTAGACGGATTGGAAAACATCATATAACGGCCGTAACGGGTAGTTACGTAATAGTTGTTGCCGTTTTTTAAAACCTTGTCATGCATTTTCAAAATCATTTTTTTTACTTTTTTTAATTTTTTTAAAAAAAATTACAAAATTAAGTCTTATATTTTTCAAAAAATGCTATATACCGCAAATGATTTATCAAATTTTTTACCAAACCTCTCACATAAGTATGGCATCCACGCAAATATATATGTGTGTGAATCTCATACCCATGTGAGAGGTTTAGTAAAAAAATTGGCAAATCATTTGATGACTCTAACATAACCCATATTTTTCACACAAAAATACCAAATACCAACACTAGTCATTTCAAATTGAAAATACAATAAAACATCTAAACTCTTTTTCAATTGAAAAGACAAACAAAATATCTAAATTTATTAAAAACACAAAATTCTACAAATTACTAAGGATAATCGTAGTTTGACAATTCAGTTGCGGCCAAAAGAATCTCAAATTCACAATCCATACAAAACTAGACGGATTGGAAAACATCAATCCACAACCGTTCGATCGTCATCACACATCAATCCAAAATGCAATGAATCAATTCGGTTCTATCGATTTAGACATATCAAAATATCCGTTGAGTACCGCTAAAGTAAGATGCATCTAGAAAAATATAAAAAAAAAAATCTTGAAACTTTAAAAATATTCACCAAATAATAAAAAATAAAAAATAAAAAAAAACATGAAAAACAAAAAAAAAACACACAAACACACAATTCCCAAAAAGCTGAATTCAAAAAATTAAAACCAAACACGTTTTCGTGCCAGTTCACCTTATTGATAATCAAATTATGAGAAGTGCTCATAATAAATAATAATTTAAAAAAACAAAAACAAATTGGCTCTTTAAATAATGGATAAGAAAGAGAATGGTACTGTTGATTACATCTTCACATTATAGAATAGATTATTGCAAACTCGAGTAAAACAATAGGCTCTACAGGCACAGCAATCCCACTTCATTCTATTGTACCAACAGTCGTGTACTTCAAAAAACAAATAAACAAAAATGTACTATTCGCAAAGCAATGTCTCTCGTGTTGCATTGCCAGTTGTTGGATTCACCCTGATAACATAATATTCATTTCAGTATGAATGAAACAAACACATCAAGATAATGTGTTGCAAAAAATAGATTTGTTTCTCAAAAACATACAAAGAAAATATATATATATATATATATATTACCCATCAGCAATTTTGCAAAGGTATTCCCGTTGATCATCTCTCAGAGGCACATCTGTGAAGTCTGACCACATATACATGACAGATCAGATCTTGCAGTAAAGCTGACGAGTGAAGCTAAAAACCACATACGGTGCATATTGATATACAATTGAAATAAAAAATCACTCCATTTGATTTTCACATCTTATGCTCAAAAAACCCTTCTTTAGTCTGGATCATTCAACTCTTGCAAAAGCAAATCAAAAGCTGGGAGGGACTCATCAATGTGAGTGATAGTTGAAAGGGATTGTTAGATTCCTAACTATGGTTCTTCAAGTGATCAGGAATGGCATGAATCTATCAGGAAAAAAATAAAAAAGAGGAACAAAATAATGCTATAAATACAACTGTTTTTCAAATGCCACAAAAAATACCAGGGGATGATTTAATTTCCAAAGAGAACAGACTCCAGAGCATTACAATATATATATATATACCACGAGACAATGCGAGAATGAATGATCCAATGATTCATTACTTCTCCTACACATGATACACCATTGAAAACAAAGAATACAATTAGGAATCCTTTTTTGAAGTGTCATTCGTAATTATACTTCCATGAGCCAAAGTTCAAGTTCAGATGAAAATCTGTACTTTAAGAGGCACACCCACTTTCCAAATTCTTTTATAATGAAAGAAAGGATGAACAATGGGATTATCAATGATTATGTCAAAAAACAAAAGACTTGCATGAGAAGATCTCTAAAGAATAAAGAGACCACACCAATTTAGCCTTGACATTTGGTCTCAAGGAAAAGTCATCAAGCATAGCCAACAAAGACACCAACTCAAAAGTTTTCCAGTCACTGGGGTTTCTAAAGAAACTGAAATCTCATGAAATCTGAGCCGTAGCGGCAATGGAAACATTATGGGATCAAGCCAACCTATAAGAGTATACTAACTATGTTAGTCTTCTGAAACACAAATCTTTGTTAGTATGGTGTATAATACATTCTAACTTCTTGAACCATTGTTAAGTGATGATTCTACATACCAGCACCAGTTATAGTTGAACCCTTGAAAGATGTGTTACCAGTAGCTAGCGCTCCTTCCAAGTTAGCATTGCTCAGATTTGCCTGCAGAAAGGTATTTTATACATGCATCAGAGCATAGCAGCAACCTATAGAAAAAGTGGTTACGCATTTGGCATCCCGTGATTTTAGCCTAAAACTCAAAAAAGTCATTAAAAAAACCAAAAATCCTACCATTTTATCCTACAAACCTATCTACAATTTGAAATCATGTGGGTTGATAAAAGCCTACCATCCCAAGATTTTAGCCTAAAAGTCTAATAGTACTGATGAGGATTTTTTCGGAATAAAAAAATTGTCAGAGTCCCACAACGTATCTTGGTCTAGTGCCATCAGCGCCTTCATTTCACCTGACAAAAGGTCAGGTGAGTACAAATTCACGGACTGTTGCAAAGACAAAACTGTCAATTTACCTATTTCTTTATTTTATAAATTATTTCATTTCACGTTTTTTCGTAAAAAGCTAAAAAATTATTCTCAAACATACTAGTTTTCTTTTACCTCATATTTCAGTCAAAAAACCAAAAAGTTATTAAAATTGTTTGTTCCCAAACGAGGCCTAAATCAGACACACTGAGTTGTTCCGAATTCAATCTGCTGACATTAGAAGGCCTTAGTTGTGTAAAATCCAAGTACAAGCCCTGCATAGTGGAATACATGTGTTGAAAAATTATGTGACCATGTCAAAAGCCCAGGCACATAGGACATTCCTGTCATTCTAATTTTCTCATAACCCCGGGGAAGATTATCATGGTTGCTTGGTTTTATATGTATATAAATTCTATATTATATTATCTTAAATCAAGTGAATCTTACAATACACAATTCACTAGTTTAGCTAATGATTCACGATTCAGTTCGTGATTTGACAAAAATGGGACCAACAATTCAAGGATTTGCAATCCCTCCCATGGGTGTGCAGCCCAGCTGAAAGCAGTAAATCTCCATGGGACACAATTCATTTTACGGACCTGGGTTGTTAATCACTGCAAGGACATCTAGTAATTACCTCCACAAGGCTGTATAGATTGATATCCCAAAAAGGTTGTTTGGGAAAGTGAAGCCTCCAACCAAACTCACAACCCAAGTAGAGTAAAATTCAATCTAAATTTTTATATTTATTGCCCAACCTAACCCCGCCCGTGTCATTCTTATTGTTTAATATTTTATACAACTGGTCCCAAGCCCGGATAAAGAAGGATGGTTGTATGTTACGTAGCCTAACAGCTAGTACGTCAGAATATTGTATATAGTTGCTATAATTTGATTCATAGGAAATGGATTATGTAAATCTAGATAAATTACTTTTCAGAAAGCAAATACAAGACAAAGAAATTGTGGAAAGACTTCACACAGATTGAACTGAGCATCAAACATTATTATAAAAATAACCTTTGTCACATTTGCCAAGGAAAAATCTGCACCTCTGAGATCAGCATCAGAAAGATCAGCCCCTGAATCACAAGATAAACAATAAAAACAATGTGAAAGCTTATTGTATAAAAATTCGTGAGTCACATAACAGCTAAATTTAACAGTGAAAACAATCAGGCAAAACCGCAACATATATGCACTAAATTGTGTTCAATTTTCATAAAATAAAAAAATAAAATAAACAATTGTCCCAGTCACCAACCCATCATTCTCTCCTCAGCTACTGAACCGTAGATAGGCAAATTTGCACATACAACCCACCAAAAAAGAAAAGAAAAGAGACCACATTTATTAGTAACACTTAAATTTTTGAAAACCCAAATAATTAAATGGGAAACCCCACATCCATTCACATGATTAATTGAGCTGCTCCCCAATATTCCATTTCTATGCCTTTGTAAAATATACAAGTTTCTCTAGTTGAATAATTTTGCATCAAAGAACAAAAGATCTGCATATAACTTTTTGAATATTATAATGAACACAAGCCAAGTCTGCATCTTTGAAGTACATATGAAACTGGCATGCTCTTAAGAATATGTGTCAATAACAACTTCTTTAAATAACAAGAGTCAAAGACTCAAAATACATCCTCTCTTTTTTTATCCCCCTCGATGGGAACACATGAAAGTTCAACTCACATTCTAGGAGAGTAGGCTTGCACACAATGCAAAGCTATTTTTATCATTATTTAACAAAAATTTCATTTCCTATTGCAATTAACATCCCAAGAGCTCTCCAAAGGTCAATATCGTATACCATCATGCAATGAACCTATAATCTCCAATTAGTGTTTGGTTTCTGCCACGAGCGTAAGGGGTTAGGGCTTGAATGCCACTAATTCCAGGCTAGCTTCACTTTTTGAAAAACATCACTTCAATATCTGCAATGGGATAATGAAGGGTAAGTTCATCAGGGATTTTAGCAAAAAAAGTTAGACCTAATTCCCCTTGGGCAGAGGTTTTGTTGTGAGGAATAATGCAGCTATCAAAAATATGTTGGCGAAGTAGCTGCTGGAACTCAGGTGGAAAACGTTGCACAGGTGATGTTTCTGCTTGTTTCTTTCCTTTGGTTTGAGCTCGTTTAGGTGCCATTAGGGTGAGCAAAAAGGGTTTCAAAGCAGAAAAAGTTTGAAGAGGCGAAGAACAGAGTAAAACAGAAGGAATGAGAGTAGTGAAGTGATGATTTGAATTCTGACGGTCAAATAGCTTATGGTGGACCCTCCTAATTGAGTTTGGGCCTCTTACTAACAATTGAACTTAACGGTTAGGCCTTTTGAATTCATGTTTTGCGTCAATTTTATCGGTTAAGTGTTATTATAAGTATTTGGGCTTTAATAGGTGGATTTGTTTTTATAAGCCTAAATGAATTGCCCATATATATAAGTGTCCAAAACCTTATTTTGTCCTTTTTGACATTCATTCAAAACAAAAAACATCTTTTTGTCTTGAATGAGGAGGGCATTGTTGGCACTAAAATTTATCTTCTCTGTCAAATAAACATAACAAATACAGAGGGTTGATCCAAGGGATGCTAGGAGTGAAAACCATAAGTTTACAGTGGAGGATGGACCCCAGAATGCAGAGCAAGTGGCAGTTGAAGCCATTTGAGGAGCAGATGTGGCAGATGCAGTTTCTTCTGTCGATTCCTCTGATAATGCAGTGAGATGTGGCCAAACGTGGCCCAAGTGTCAAGTTAAGGAGTTAGGCATGCAAGTGAGATAGGACACGTGGTTTGTGTGCAAAGAAATGTGTAAGAGAAAAAAATGCTAACGCAAAAAAGCAATTACCAGCGATTATGGAGATCATGGACAGTTATGTAGGAAGTGGAGGAAATTTGCTCCATGATGGGACACGTGGCAGCAGAGAAATAGCGAAGCCAGCAGCATAAAGGTTGGAAATTTGAGGGAAAGAAGATCTTCAATCAAATTCACAACCCATGTGAAATTAGGAGTAATTTAACTTAGCTAGCAATAGCTTCTGTACTTAGGAGCAGTTTGTTTATAATTCAGCCTCTATGGCCAAATTTTCCTTTGTTGATTGTCATACACATTGAACTTGTAATTTAATTCTTGTAATTAAGTGGCAAGTTTACTTGTTCTTCAATCGATTTTTAGTTTATTCACACTTGTTTCTTCGCATTACAACCTCCAAAGAAATCCTTGAATCTGTCAAGGCATAGAACATCAACCACAGTCACTGGATCTGTAGTTGTTTGTGAAATTGTGGTTTCTCTGTCGAATCACGTTTGTCGATTTGACCCAAACCAGATTTTTGCTAATATATTTTGGCACACCCAGTGGGACCTGTCTAATTTGGAGTGATGGCTAAGAATAAACAGCATGAAGTCTTTGAAGATCTTGAGAAAAGGGTTGAAGACGGAGAAGAAGGTGGGCTTGAAGGAGTGCAAGACAACCTAGCTGATGGCCATTCAGTGGCCAGGCAGGAAATAGGCCAAGGAAATGGCCAACATATGGCAAAGAATGGCCAATCTAGTTGCCCTCCTGTTGATCCAAAAGCAGCTCTTCTGTTGCACACTCAGCAAACAATTGGTTCCATATCTGCATATGAGAACCAAGTGATGATAGATGACTTGTTGGCATTGTTTAAGAGAGCCAACATCAAGCCCAACCAATCAAAAAGGATTGGAGATGAGACTAAGGTAAATAAAGCACAATTTATACCACCTACGACCCCTCAACAACATGAAAATGTAAATAAACTTGTGTCATTTTATAGACCTCCCACATTCCAAGAAAGATATGAGGAGGGAATGACTATAAATCCTGTGTTTGAAAGAGAATACCCCACAAACTCAGTGTTTAATCATAACTTAAATAATATGGGAAAGAGACCTAGGGGGCAACTAAGGCCACAAGTGTATGGTACTCCGACATATGGTATTCCTGCATTTGATGGGCTTGGTTATCAGGAACAAAGAAATAGGCCAATGAATCAAGTAAGGCCTCAAAATGTTCAGGAACATGTCATACAACAACCCTATTATGAACCTAACATAATGCATCCAAGGCCTAGAGGGCTTGGTCCTCCTTTTCCTTACTTCCAACCAGAAGTTCAAGGAGGGAGACAACAGCAGCAATATTTAGACCCACAAGTTAATAATAGGCAGCAAATAATGAACATCATACAAGAAATATATGGTCCAGGCCTAAGACGGCCAAATAGACCAATGTTTAGGAGTCTTTACCCTCCATGGGTGGAAACAACTCCCATTCCAAGAAACTACAGGATTCCGAAGTTTACTTTGTTTACAAGAGAAGAGAGACAGTCAACTATAGAACATGTAGGCAGGTTCATCCTCCAGTGTGGAGAACCTGGTTATGATGATAATTTAAAACTAAAACTCTTTCCTCATTCTCTGTCAAAAGTGGCATTTACATGGTTTATTAACTTGCTAGGAAATTTTGTTCATACATGGCAAGAAATGGAGAGTCAGTTTCATGCCCAGTTCTTTAGAACTGAGCTTGAAGTGACAATGGTGGATTTGTCAAAATTTAAACAAAGGCAAGGAGAGAGTGCAGAATAGTACATCGATAGGTTTAAGAAAGCAAAAAATAGATGTCATGTGTACATGCCTGAAATAGAAGTTATATGGTTAGCTCAGAATGGTTTACACTTTGAACTTAGGAAAAAGTTTGAAGGCATGATGTTTAGAGACCTGTTTAAATTATCTTCAAGGGCAACTAGTTATGAGGCCATTCTCAGAATTTGATATTGATATTGATATTGACATAGATTTTGACATAGATGTTGCTCAAGTAATAGGTAAAAAACCTGTGGTTTGTGAAACATTAAGGAAAGTTGAAAAACCTGTAAGTATGCCAACAACACAGCCAACCAAAAAGAATGTGGCCAATGTTTTAAAAAACGGCCGCAACTGTTACGTAACGCTGTTACGTAACGGTTGTGGTCGTTACCGCCACGCGTTACGGCCGCTTTTGCGGTGTGATTGAGATTCACAGGTGTATCGACTGTAGCAGCTGCTATAGCGGTCGTAACGGCATGTTACGCATCGTTACGTAACGGTTCCGAATTGCTTTTTTCGAAAAAAAAAAAGTTGAAAATGCGGAAGAGAGATAGAGAGAGAAGAGGGAAGATGAAGAGGGAAGATGGAGGAACAAGAGACAGAGAGAGAAGAGGGAAGATGAAGAACATGTTATTGATTTGTTGAAGATGTAAGACTTATACTATTATATTCAGCTGCTAGCACTCAACCATTTTGTTTGTGTGTGTCTATCTATATATTGTTTGATAATAATAATAATAATAATAATAATAATAATAATAAGTATGGTCATTATCTATTTGGCTTGATTAATATATATATATATATATATTTAGATTTTTATTTATTCTCTTACTTTTGTTATTGTTTATCTTATATATAATAGTTAGTGATTGATTTTTTATATAATATAAAGTCATTAATTATTAAAATAAAATGTAAAAAACTCAATTTGTAATGATTTAAAAATATAAAATATATTGGATCAAACTAAAAAATTTATAAAAATTAATCAATATTTATTTTAAAACCCAATAAATATGATCATGGAAAAAAAATGTGCGTATCGGTAAGTTTTTTTTAAATTGTGCGAAAAATAAAAAAATTCACAGTTTCGGTTACCGCAACCGTTACGCTATGGCCTTTACACCCCGCAACCGCAACCGCAACCGCTCCGCCGCCACCGTTACGGCGACCACAACCGCTTTTTAGAACCTTGAATGTGGCTGTATCACATAGGCAGTATTCTTTTGATTTATCAAAAGCAGATGCATTATTTGATGAATTGTTAGCAAATAAATTTTTAACTTTGACTCCAGGCCACAACATTCCCAAAGAAGGGGACAGGGTTGACAAAGAGTATTGTAAGTGGCATAATTTTTTCAGGCATTCCACTAATAACTGTGTTACATTTTGTAATTGTGTGCAGGATTTGATTCAGAAGGGAATGTTGAAGTATGCTAGCTAAAACAGATAAAGGGGTCATGGCAGTTGA